TCACCTGAAGTTAAACCCAGTGAACTTGAATGAAGATGAAGAGAAACTTATTTGGGGTTTCAGGTGGACTAATGATGCTGTAACCAAGCAGTAAATTTGATGGAGCTCATTGGAATTTACTTCTAAGTAAACCTGCTCAGGATTTCAGTTCATAGATAGATTAGGACCATTTTCTTCTTCCACTTATCATAGGCTCTTCTAACTTCTATCTTTAAAACTAACTTCTATCTTTTAAAGAATAATTGAAATGAATGAGTCAATAATCACTTCCTGGAAAACGTGAAAAGCATTATAACAATATCCAATTTTCTAATTTTCTTGACAGGCACAGATACTCAAAAAGATAGCCTGACTTCTTCTGAATTGTTTTTTAAATGGAAGATTAATTTCATAATCAGTGGGATATAGGATGTCAAAAATTATTGATTATGCCTGCCAAACCATAACCGTAACGGCATTCCTACATAATTTGTATTTTCTTTTAGGCTCCTACATTCTCCAAGGCCCCTATATTTTGGAAAATAATGTAAACACTGCAATTCATGAAGTACAAATAATGCATTTTTATCAAGTGGAAAGAGAGGAAAGAAACCATCACCCATGTGTTACACCTCCTGGATTAATTATTTCCAGGATTTGATTGTGTGTTGTCTACTTCCACAATGAAGAATCTTACAACTGCACCACACTTGTTGAGATGAGGTCATTTCATATCTCGTACACATGGCTTTCTGACATGAGATTAAAGCCAGGAACAGAAAACAGTGGCATTCATACAATGTAAACATGGCAAATGAACTTGTGAAAGGTTAATAATGGCATTTATGTAAATTAAATTCAATGTCTATATAGAATCTATGCACACTCAAAGGACTTCTTTAGTGAGCCTCAGTTTGGATAAACCTCTGTGCTGTCCAGTTCCTATAGATTTTAAGGTAAGTAACCTAAATATCATCTCAGTCCTGGGCAACCAGGTTCCCCTCGCAGCTGCTTTCAGCCAACTAGCATCCCCTGCACTGAAAATCACTGTTTTAATACTCTGCTGGGGTGGCAATAGGGAAGGAACCACACTGGCTGCGAGGGTGGGGAGGCTATTAATAATATAATATAATTATGAATACTCAATAATACTATAATAATATGATATTATTAATTAATTAATAATATAATGAAATTATGAAAAGGTTCTGTGCCCGAGAAGGTCTGCTTTTGGACCCCCATCCACTTCACATTCCAAAGTGGGGACTCACTGAAAGCCCTCCCAGTCAGGATACATTTGTAGAGACCCGTGGAGATGGCTTCGAAGGGCAAAAGCATTCCTTAAGCCTTGGAAAAAGAGATGATGCTAGGAAGAGATTCAGCCTGGCTCCTCCCTGACTGAATGGGAGGAAAGAGGAACAGAAAGGAAACACAAGAAGACTCGTGAAATTCTGTTACTATGGACTATCTCACTGAAGTATAATTCTAGCCTTCTTGTGGAATTGGTTTCCTGACCTGATCTACGTCATAGAGCTGACAATATTAGATAGATACGTATATCTGGAGCATACAGTTTAGAAAGTAATAAAAATGCAAACCATAAAGAGCTGTATAACTAGCACTCTCAACTGGATCCATTCGCTTTCTAGTAGCCAATACAGCTCCTACCAAAATGGTAGCTTGCTTCTGCCTGGTAAACATGTCAGGCCACTGCAATTTCTGCCAGCGACAGCTTCTTGCCTCACTTTCTAGGGCAGCTATTTGCAGTAATTCAAGTTCCCATCAGTCCCAGTCTGGGTAACCAAGAACAAGGCAGTGTGGGTGTTGTACTTTCTCGGCTATTTCCACCCCATCAGAACTGGTGATCATGGCAGAAAAGGAGCACTGCACTTACACAGATGTAACAGGTTCCACACAGTGCATGGAAGTTGGGGAGGGACTTGCTCCTGCACTCCCCTCCTTTATCTACGGCAGTTATACTATTTAGATTAGGTTTCAGGCTGGAATAGGCAGAAAGAAATCTGCAAAGTCTTTCAGGTTACATTATTAAAACATTGTGCGAGACACACTTACAGAGAAGTGACATTTGAATCAGAGGGCCAATTTAAACATGTTCTCTCTGATGTGGTATAGTTCCAAACAGTAACTGTACCTCCTCAGGATCCATTTATGGAATCTCTTTTATGAATAAGCTCCTCCATCAACACTATTCCCCACATTTTATGTTTACAGAGAAGCCTGTTGGGTACAGTTCTTGGAGTTCTTTTTTTTTTTAATGGAAGTAACTTTCTACCCCACAAAGAGGCAGCAAAGTCGTGCAAAAGCACTGTGCTGTCAGAAGCAGAATATCTGAGAATCTGCCCTATGTCACCATTTGCTGATTGCAAATGACAGTAATTGACTAAATTACACCATGAAGAGCGTTCCCATGAGTCTCTAACACGTATTCAAATTATTTCTTTGGTTTACCATTACTTGCTGTGAAAAAATCACGGGTGCCTTGAGATCAGCATATTATTAGCATACCACCCCCCTAGTAAGGGTTTCTTTCCACCATGGAATATAAAATGATTTTCTGAGAAAATTATCAAAATTTATTATTTTTAAACTACACAATTTTCAATAAACTGATTTTTCCTACTGATTTCCATCCAAGTATGCTTCCTCTGACCTGAAAATACTTTTGAAAATATCAGTGGTACATTTTTATTTCACATAGGGAGAAGCTGGCCATGTTGAATTACAATGCCTCTTTATATAATCATACACGAAGCATTAAATGATAAGGAGGAGATCACTTTTGAAATGTTTTTCACTATTTTTAACTTTGTGAAAAAGGACTGCCTAATTTGGCACCAGACCTTAAACAATTAATTTGTTTCAGCTAGAGTGTGAAATTCTGTATGTTGATTATTACTACTTCAAATATTCACCAAGTTTCTTTTTTTGAGAAGGCGGCCAGTCCAATTAACCTGCTCCTATTTTAAAACGTTATAACGTTACTGAACTTATCAGGCACAAAAATGTAATGCCAGTATGGAAGACAGAAACCGGTAATACAGAAGATATTGAGACATGTATAACATCATCTAGTGAAGAAATTATCTATCTATGTATAAAGTTTCACAAAGATTCATGTATTCACAGTTCAGCTCTGAAACCTAGAAGAACAATAATCTGATAGGAGTATCTACATCTGGCAACTACATCAGCAGCTAATTTATCTATCAAGAGATTGGAAAATTGACTGCTGGAGAAACTAGGTAATAAATGTCATCTGCTTCTCACTAAACTAGAAGGAGTTACTGCAGAGTCTTTAGGCAGCCAGTCTATCCTATCCCAGTGCTTTCCAATCCAGTTTAAAATGCATCTGAGATTGATCTGCAGTCTATTTAAATATCAAGATGCTATAAACATGGTTATGTTTATAACTTTGTGAATTTAGAGCTTATGGAGAACCATCACCTTGCTGTTTTGGCCAATAGCTAAACACAGAGAATTAGCAACCAATCATTTCTAGCTTATTAATTTACCCCATTCCCCTCAGGTTCCATTGTGTCCCTACCTAAAAAGATCCCTTTCCTCTCTTCACAAAACAGAAAAGGAAATAAATAGCAAGTATTTCTGTTCTCCTGTGCTCCATGTGATTCTGTGCACGGATTTGTGAACATTTGTGTCTGTTGCATTAATATCCAAGAGCAGTTTGAGAGGAAACTGTGCAAAGGGAGGAGGATTGCATCAAACATCTCAAAACCTTCCCACTTGCCATGGTGCCAAACATCTGTTCCTTCATCTCCTAATGTGACATACCAGAAATTCTGCATTCCAGTTCCTTTTTCTAATCATGCCAGCATGTATCTATCCTGGGATACCAAAACTGGAAGGAAGGGTGAACCAAGATTCCAGGCCATTCCAACATGAGGTAGCAGTAAGTTGCCACTTCTAAACTAGCTTTTAGTGCCTTGAAATGGCATTTCCTTGACCACAGATACTGTGATACTACTGTATCATTGGAACAGGGATGCATCAAATTGCTTTGGATGGTATGCCCCCATTTATGATATTGTGTGATCAGTGGGGTCTCATATACTGTCCCCTTGACTGGGACTGCATCTTCCTTTCAAAGACATCTGTGTCTAAATTTGTGTCGGCATGGTTTGAATATGAGACCAGCTAACCAACAATCCCCTTCAATTAACAGAAAAAGCTCACAGTGACTCAGTTTGTATGACTTGCCATTGTTTACTCTTCGGATAATGGAGCTGCAACAGGCAGGACCACAGGAAGGCTCCTAGGAAGCACTGAGGTAACACCAATTTTCCTGATTTACCTATTACATTAATGAGTATCACAGTTTAAATACGATCCACTCTGATAGGATTAGCATAATAGTAAGAGCCAGTTGTCTGTGAGATGGTCGAGAAGTTCAGAATTTCTCAACCAATCCCATGGAAAAAGAATTAAGTACTTACTTGAAGCAGTTATCGCAATAAATATTTCCTGTGGTCTCCTTGATTGTGCGTTCAGAAACAAAAGCTGGATATTCAGTGTCACATGGCTCTAGGGTTTGCTTCAATCGCTGAGCTAAAGAAAATAAAAGAGACTGAAGGAATTTGGCAATAACTTCATTCAGAGTTCTGCAGCGTGAGATGCTATATCAATGCCTGAGACCCAATGAAATCATTACAGTACTTCTGCCACCCTGTGATTTATGCTGGTAATGCATAAGATTTATTTTATAATTAAAGAAGACTCTTATAAAAAGATACAATTTACTAAAGGATAGTCTTACAGTACATGAGTTGTACTGGCCTTAGTTAATCTAATTTTAGTCTGCCCATGATAAAGAGATAGGATACAAAGAGTGCTGATTCAAGTGATAACTGCGTACATGAGCAAATTTAATATTTGTGAATACCTCTACAGCAATATAAAGGTACTTGGTAGAACTGAAGGGTATTGCATAGTTACTCCCACTCTTACTTCTCAAACAACCCTAGTTAGCCATGGGAAATTATGACAATCTTGTTGCTCTCCTCAGTCTGGTAGCACCAGTGCAGCTGACAAGAGCAGTATTAATACCATTCTTTGTATTTGCCACAGTACTTTACAATTTACTGTGCTGAGTTGAAAAACCAAATGTATTTAATTGCTTAACCCCACCCCTCCCAATCTTAAACCTTTTTGGATAGGTTTTAAATCAATTATTTTTAATATTATTAGCTTTAACTTGTGTGATTTTGATCATCAGTTACTTATAATATATTGTTATTACCATCACTGTTCTTCCCTGGCGTACATGACAGTTACACTCTAGGGTAGGCAAAAAATACATACCATCTGTTGCAATGCTCCTACTTAGTTAGCTATTATTTAAAATACTGGCGACCAATTATGACAGCCCTGTCAGAGCAGACACATGAAAATCAATGGTACAAGTTTGTGCTAACCAGCTTAACGTTCATGGACTGCAGTGAGTCTATATTAAGCATGACTTAAGTTTGGATCCAATCCAAATTTCTTTCAGCTGAAGTCAGGGTGAAAAATTAAAAGAAAACCCTACATCTTGAAGTTGTATTATAGTTCGTACATTTGATAATTCTTTAAAACCAACATATATCCATGCTTGCTAATTGTGTCTATTTGTATAGTGATAAGGAGTACCGGATGTCACAGCACTATTGAACTTAAACATCTGGGATTCCTATGATCAGTGTGATTAACAGAACCATATATTTTTTTACTTAAGTTTTCAAAGTAAAAGTGGGTTACAAATAAATACAAAGATTTTCTTTCTGTTGTGCAAGATATACTGAGGAACCCCCATCCCCCCCACCAAAAAAATATTCAGGGTGTATTAATTGCTCATTTCATAAATCTCATTAGGATAGGGTTAAACATCTTGCTCTCTAGCTTTTTGGATCTGTGCTGGTAACCATCTCTCCTATGACTGCCAGTTCATGCAATTGACTATAAACACCAACTACATTAAATGATGCTTTTCTAGTGACCAGGATGAGGGGGTACTTTCCAACCTCCTAGTAATTAAAGAAAGGGAGCAGGTGAAAAGTATAATTATATGCTCTGCTTCCAGCTATAAACGGAATACTCAAATGCAGTATTGTTATCTACTGAGGTAATGGCAAACATGTGCCAGGGAGGTTGGGAGGAAGGGAGGTTGGTTGCAAGATAATAATACAGCTGCAACACATATTTATTTCTATTTCTTTTAAAACAGAGAGCCATGGACGGCAAAACCATTTCACTGGGCAGTGTAAAATATGTCATTCACAATGGTCATATAAGGAATGCAGAGGCGCCTCTGAGTGAATGTTGACTCCTGGAGACAGCCTGGATAAGTCCCTGAAGTTTTCTTGGGAAGAAAATGGAGAGCCAGATTGGTGTAGTGGTTTGCCATTGCCTTCTTCCTAGGGCTGAGAGAGTGTGACTGGCCCAAGGCCACCAAGCTGGTTTTGTGCCTAAGGCAGGACTAGCTAGCCCAATGCCTTAACCACTACACCAATCTGGCTCTCCATATATGAATAATACATGTTAAAATACTGGAATTGATCCAAATCTCAGGGACCAGGGAGCAAAATTTCAGCTGGGTCTGAGAAATGCTCCCTTTCCTTTTTCCTTAAGACTGGTAAATCATGCAAGAATATTACAGTGGTAGCCTAGGATGATGCAGTGTGCCTTGTTTGCCTTGAGGTATCTCTCTGAAAAGCCACCAAGATGATTTCCTCTTCAGTACAGTGTACCATAATATACTGTTCTATCCAAAAGTCATGTTAGCCATTTACTTATGAGAGACAAAACCAAGAGGTGTACTTAATTTGCTCCTTGTAGTGGACAAGCCCACCACTAGGGAGTAGGAATTAATTTTTCCCTTTTACAACTTCTGTCAGATTATTTATTGGGTCTATAGGACTTAAACAAGAGCTGCAGGACTCTGGGTGGAACAACAGACTTTTGCACTGGGATTGACTCTTGCAGGTCTACTGTCATGCCTGTCACTCCCATGCTTTTCCAGCAAGGTTGGAAACTTAATATCATCTCAGAGAAGCTTTAGTAGGTTTACTCCAATCCCAGTGTTTGAAAAAATAAACAATGCAGTAATATCCACACCACTAAGGTAATGTTAGAAAAACCCTCTAGGATGACCCAGTCAAAAAACTATTTTTGAGCTGTTCTACTCCCAGCTCAAAAGAAAACTCATTTTCTGTTTTCTGCACACACTTACAAAAACTGGAAGTTCAAGCTTTGTGGAATACTGACTTCTTATAAAAGCAAATAACACATTTGTTAATGTATATGTTAATATAAATTAATCTTACCCTTTGCTATAAGATCTGAATGCCACCAATTGCATAGATTAAATTCCACCAGAAACCTAAACCACAAAAATACAATATATCATTTGATTACATCTGGCATGTTCATACCATTAACTGTCACTAATATTTTTTTCCAGCATGTTCAAAAATAGACATCAAGCTAAGCTCAAGATGAGATATGGTCTGCTATTTTCTCCCAGCTGAATTCATTTTACAATTTCAAATTCTACTGAAATTGGTATCTCTGCTGGACTGTTCCATAGCCAAGAATTTTATACAAAAATCTTACTGCACTTTCTAGTGCATGACAGGCTGCTGTAGTTAATTCTCCAGTACAGAGAACGTTTTGACTATGTGATTAAAAATCACCCATGATGCATAATTTCAATCCTTGGATACTCAAAATCTCCAATTCTCATCATAGGCTCATAAATAGTAAAATATTATTTCTAGTTTTATCAGCAAATGACAAAACGTTCTCATATTTCCCATGAAAATATCTATTCTGAAATTTGTTAGCTTCAGGTCATGCCTATGTGTAATGGTATGTGGGAATGACCCTGGGAGACGAGGTGAAGAAATGCTACCTAGGGAATGGTCAGATAAGAGGGAACATAGCCCACAGCTGCTGGTTCCTTTAGCAAACTCAGCACAAAAGTCTTGTTGTGATCAGTGGGAAACTCCACAGGTCTGCCTGCCACAAAGATTTCACATTGAGCAGTGAATGTCTGGAACTGACCCTGGTCCCCTCCGAACTTCTCCGGCAAGCTGCCATGGGAATGCAGGAGCGCTGGCTGAGCTGCCATCTGTTGTGCTGCTGTGGGTTGAGGCAAATTCTGCCCCAGCTGCTATGTTAGTTGTATTGTGACATTCTGTAATGTGGTCATCTGTGCGTCCACTTGCTGCTGGTGTTGCAACAATGCTGCTGCCAGACGCTTGGCGGATAGTGGGTTCCTTGAGGATTGGAGGCCATTCCTGAAATTCCTCTCTTTGGAAGGGAGTATGAGACTTGCAAGATTGTTGTCAGCCTTCCCAGGTAGATCACAAAGGTAACATGACCAGATGAGCTAATTCTACTTTATTGTAAGGCTACATTAACAGAATCTTGCAAGTCTGAAAGTACAATTCTCCCACCATCACCTTTACAGCCCAATGACTTAGGGAGGGTCCCTTCTGAGCTCTTGCTCTGCCTATTGTACAGCTGTGGTCTATGCTCTGTCTTATCTGACTGTTCCCTAGGCAGGATCTCTTCGCCCGGTCTCCCAAGATCATTCCCACATACCATTACACTATGTGAAAGCCAAAGTCAGTGGGACAGCAGTAGCTTGTAAATGTACATATTGAAAGGAAAAACAATTACCATAATCAAGCAGCCTAGAAAGAATAAATTTTCTGAATATTACCATGTAATACACATATTGTTTTCTTTAGTCATCACTAAGGCTCAAATCTATTTTCAATTCTGCAGATTTATTTTGCAATAAATCATATACACACATATTGTCTTCCACTCACTATGAAAAATCTCATTTAAACTTACATCCTGCATATCTGCAAAGTAATAAACTTGGTCAATTACATATTGCTCAATGTCCCTCTCCATTCCTACTCTCCCCAAACTATTTGCCCCCAACCAAATAGATCTTAACAGAAATGTTAAAGCTCCTTTATGCTTTACTGGTGGGGCCCAACTATTCAAAAGAAATTACCACTCAAGTGTATAATCCATTTTCATTTTAATACTATTATGAAATGATGGGAGTCCTATGTCATGTGGAAAACACCACTAGATCTTGCATGAGCTTCAAATATGCCAATCATGGGGCTGCAATCACTTAAGAAATTAGAGTACAACAGAAGATCCTCTGAGAAAATACACACGTTAATAGCCCACCCAGGCAGAACTGGAATCAGCCAAATATTTATATTACATCTAAGTGCAACCACAGTAATAAATTTAGGCTGCAATCCTATATTTGAATTATCCAGGCGTTAGCTCCATTGAAAATAATAGGATTCTACTTTTGAGTAGGCATGTATTGAATTGCATTATTACTTTATATTTTGGAAATGATTACTGTGAAATCCATAGGCTTTAAGTACTTTTTAAACCACTAAAATTATACACTAAGGATTTGAAAGTGTACATAAATTGCTCAACTGGTACAACAAGAAGAATGAAAGATGGAAAAGTACAATCTTCAAATCAGAACAAGTTTTACTTACAAGACAAGTTCAGTCACAATCCATTTGACTGCAGCAAAGAAAGCTTTGTAAGGCTGAAGACAAACAAATTACTTAATCAAAAAGCCAGAATGCACGATATTTTTATATTAAGTGATAGATGTATATAATGTCCCAAATGCATTACAACTTCTACAAATCAATAAAATATCAGTATAATTTTAGGATGCTTATTATTGTGATGTTTATGTATGATATAATTATTGGCAGAAAGGGAATTGAATAAAATGGCCATGGAAGCTCTAGTCACTATTCCTCAGCCCAACCTAACTCACATAGTTGTTTTTGTGAGGAAATAAAAAACGGAGAGGTACATATGTCCCCTTGAGGTCCTGGAGGAGAGGTGGGATATAAATCTAATGAATCAGTAGTAAATGTTCCTACTTTAAAACACTTTATTTTTACATAATTCCATTCTAATTTTGATCTAGCAATTATTATACTGATGATTTACTGTTATAACACAAGGAAAAAGATTCATGTTTTATAAGTTGGCCAGAAACAAATATAATATTGTCTTTAAAATGCCCAATTTTAGAGCTAAGTGAGGCTTATGATGCAATTTTACACGCCCTATTGTGATCAAAGGTATTATTCCAGGAAACAGATAAGAATGTAATCACAAAATATATGGAATGCTCACTGTACTTATATAAAGGTCTATATTTATAGGCAATTTACAAATCCAGGATGCAGGCATACATTAGAGACAAACATGTTGAAAAATCTTCAATATTCATGTGAGCTAATAGTTTAAAAATTTACCCTACTGGTCTGTTGGCCATCATAAACACTGACCTAGGAATAAGGGCCATTGATCACAGTGGGATTTACTCTGAATAAGCGTATATAGGATTAGAAACAAATGAAGATATAATCATAATGCATAGAAGAATACTTACATCCAATAAGGTATGGGCACTATCACTACTTTCTTTGGTTGTTCTACACATGGCTTGGTAGTCATAAAGAGTAATTCTATAGAGAAGAATAGAAAAGTGCTTGACTAGAGGGAAAAAAATAAATCAACAAAAAATAATGTGAAATGCAACAAGATTTGCTCACAAGGTAAAAGTAACAATAGCGTTTCTAAAGGGAGTGGTTGGATTAGAGAATTAATACATACTCAGATAAAAAAAGAATAAAATGCAAAGAAAAGAAACCTTGTAAAAAGTCTATGGATTCAATAAAACTGTCAGGGAAATGTGCATATTAAACTGACTCACAAAACAGAAGCATGCATTTAAAAACAAAAGTATTGGCTTCTGTTCCTTTAGCAGCTCTAAAAATAGTAATACTAATGCTGATGTACCAAAGTACTAAAATAGGACTGCTGTAATAAATAATTTACTGTAAATAACACATTTGATACCAATAGAAGTGAATATGTGTAACTCAGGGTTGAACTGTGGAGTCTTTGGGGTTCTCCGAGCTTGGCTGTTTTCTTGCAGACGTTTCGTTACCCAGCTAGATAACATCTTCAGTGCTAGAAGGGAGTGGGTTTTGCTCTCTGTTTATATACAGGGGCATGCCCTGCCAGTGTTGGTGGGGGTCTGGGTTTTGTTTTGGTATTTATCTCTATGTGCCTGTTGATGGCTGCCTTGTCTGAATACCAAACCCAATTTTTTCCCTCTGGTAGTTCCTTGATTAGGGTATTGTTTACTGCTGATTGTATGTCTGGT